GGAATTATCTTGGATGTCTACAGTGGTTATGAGTTTGAGGAGTTGACATCAGATACATGTACACCCCAGATAAGCGAGATGCATATTTTTCAAATGTATAGATTCCCTCCTGTGTTGTCCCGAAGGAATTAGTTATGTTTATTGCTTTTTTTTCCATTTTATGGGATATCTTGCTTCTTAAGATATTTTTTTGGAATTTATTCATTGGAATAAGAAGAAAATATATTGTATTCTATTCTTATTTTTTTTTTGACTTGGTGTAAGAAACACACTTCCATATTTTCAAATTTTCAAATAAAAATACACCTTTCAGGTTGCCTCTTACTCCTTTTGTAAACTATGTATCCTCCAATATTCCTCTTTTTCAATGCTTAAACCTGAAAAAACTATTTAGACTAGCATAATGAGTTAGCTAAACGGAAGTAGAACTCGAATCATTTTTTTCATCATAATCAATAGTGAAATGTTGATATCACATCGCTTTGCAATCTACAACCCCAGTGTCCTACCAGTTGGCTCTACTAGGCTTACAAGCACCTACTCTGCTAGATGTGATTCACTAGGCTTACAAGCACTTACTCTGCTAGATCGTAGTGTTTGTTTGTCGTTTTTCTTATTTTGAAAAGTCTTGTTGTAACCTATTGGAATTTCAGTAATGATATTTCTGTTTCTTTTTTTATTGTGGTTTGGGCTTTTCCTCCGGTATCAATTATTGAGTTCTTAATAGAACTTCAATCATTTGTTTAATCATACTTAAGGGATCTTATAGTATTTCTTTCCAAAAGCACATGCATTCATCAGTGTTTAGCCTAAGATTGTGGAAATAATGAAATCTTGATATTGCATCACTTTGTGATCTACAAACCCCAGTGACCTTCCAGTTGGCTCTACCAGGCTTACAAGTACCTACATTGCTAGATGTAATTCATCAATCATTTGATTAGCCACCCACTCTTATCTTTCCTATCTAATCTGCTAACCATCAATTCTTGGTGTAGGATGATTTTTAAATCTGAAATTGATTTTAGTTAGTTATGTTAATTGTTTTTTTCCATTTATGGGATATATTTCTTCTTTAGATATTGTTTCGAATTTATTCATTGGAATAAGAAGAAAATATATTGTATTTTACTCTTTTTTTTTTGGTTTGGTGTAAGAAACACACTTCCATATTTTCAATTTTTCAAATAAAAATACACCTTTCAGGTTGCCTCTCACACCTTTTTTTAACATTATATCTTCAAATATTCTTCTTAATCAAAGCTTAAACCTGAAAAATATATTTAAGCTAACATAATGAGTTATTTAAAAATAACTCAGGAGCAATCACATTTCTAAAAAACAGCCACCCAAGAAAAAGAGAAATATGAATGCTAATCTTTCATATTTCTTTCTAAAAAATCATATAATAATCTAATATATTCATGATGTTTATTCATATGTCATAAATTTAGTTTTAATTATATTTTATATGCTTAACATTCGCATTGGTCTCAGGAGCACTGTCAAAACATAACTTTACACATCTATGGTCGATATTATCCCATCTACACAGTGGTTAACGATCTAAACATCACAATTATCTGAAGTAGTAAGCTGCCTACTCGCCCCTGATTGATATTCTTCCGCAGGCACAACGACTATTGATCTAAACATCACAATTGTTTGGATTGATAGGAAAATATTTATGCACGCGGGTCCTATGACTCTCATTGCCTATATCATCAGGGTGTGAACTCTTAACATTCACATACAAACATACATATAAAATCTTTTGGCTCACATCGAACTTTCGTGTATGATAATAATCTATTTCATGTTCTTATATCATGCATTCTTTTCTTATGAAATATTTTTCCTCTTATTTATTGATGAATAAATGTAATTTTATTATATATATAAGTCATGAAATAAAATGATATATGCACGTTTACTAAAATTCTAAATGTCAAACAATAATGTGACATATATAAGTGATCATGCAATAAACTAACATGCTTATCTCTACTAGAACTTAAGTCGTACAATAATTTGATATATTTCTAAACTAGATTGTTATGCAACTATATTTAACATTCATACTTACTCTAATGTGCAATTATTTGTCATGCTTAACTTTCATATCATGCTAATATTGCATATTTTTTCTATCTAACAATATGAATAATCTTTTGTAATTTGAATTTAAGTGAACTAGAGCATACATGAAATCAAACTTAGATTTTGAAATAAAGAGCATTCCTGAAATTTAAGAATATAATCACTCACCTCAATCTTTAGTATATTTATTTTTTAGCTCAATCATTCATTTCTCTATATCGTCAATCTTTTACTAATTTCAATTCTGAATAGCCTTCTTCCATACTTTCTAATATAATAAATTTAATAACAATAATTTAACTAATTGTATCATTAATTCTAATAATAATATAAGCCTTAACAGTTACCTTATAAGTTTTCAAATCGATCTCCTCCCTTACTAAAATTTTTTTGTCAGTCTCCCTAACCTCAATTAACCTAATTTTATATTAACATGTTAAATATACATTAATTTAATATGGATAAAATATTAATAAACAAATCTAGCCCAAAAATTTACCTGAACTTGCAACATATGGTTTTAATAGGCTTCGTGTCTCCATTTCACACCCACGATCTTCATCTTCCTTTATACAGAAAATTTGTGTCACCTTACCCCACAAATTCAAGACTTTAATGTTATTGATTTTGATTTTAAATGCACTTAAATGTAACATTTAAATGATAAACTTAACTATATATGTGCCACTTATCCTGGCCTGTTGATTGACATCCACGGTATAAGTCCCCTCAGGTTGGGGGATCGAATCCCCTCTGACACAATTGACCTTAAGGAGGCGACACTCGAATTGTTAGGCATATTAAGCGTGGTCGGAGGCTCGTATAATAGCCTCTGACCATTCCTTTTCGAGTATAATAGCCTCTGACATAGTTAACCTGGTAGGAAGAATGTCATCTTTTTTACAGAAGCTGAAGGTATTCAACTTGCTTCCTCATTTCGTCTGAATTTGGTTGGAAATTTTTATATTGTCATCCCAAAATAAAGCTCATTTGCAAAGAATTGGAATTTATGCACCTTATTAGAGAATGAAAAATTGGACTATTAGATGTGAGACATTCTTATTCAAATTAGTAATGAAGACGATTACATGCGCTTATTTGCTAGAAAGATAATATGAATTGATAACAGAGCAATGAAGATTCTGAAATGGTCTATGAATTTTGACTCACAGACGGAACCACCAATCATTCCGATTTGGATTTGTCTCTCTGGTACGAAATTTCATTATTTTTCTCAAAAAGTATTGTACTCTATTGCCTCAGATTATGGAAAGTCACTCAACACG